GAGAGAGAGGCAGGAGAGAGAAGGGGATAGAGAGAGAGAGAGAGAGAGAGAGAGAGAGAGAGATTGCACCAAAAGAAAGCAAGTACATGATCATATTTAGCCATTTTTATAAATCTACATAAGTGTGGACATATGTTTAAAGATATTAAGTGAAAAGTATTTTTAAAAAGTGATCAGTGACTTCTACCTTACCACATCTGATGGTTGATTCTCAGTCTTGAGAATCTCACTTGACCTCACTGGATTTCTTAGAAGTATTTGACAAAAGGGATCACTCCCTCTCTTGGGACATTGTCCTCACTTGACTTGCATGATACCATTGCTCCTAGTTTTCCTCGTACCTCTCTGGACATTCTTTTCAGCCTTTCATGCTGGATTCTCTTCTACACTTACCTTCTCTGCCCATACTTACTCCCTACTCGTTCTATTTAATCTATGGCTTTAATGGCATTCTATATGCTGATTGATATTTTTGCCAGATTTATATCTCTAGTCCTGATCTCTCCTATCAGGTACAGAATCTGATACCCCATTTCTCCCTCGACAACCAATAGGCATCTCAAAATTGACATAATAAAAACAGAACCCTTAATCTCCCACCCTCTAATGCTGCTCCTCCTCAGCTTTCACAAGTTTGGAAATGGAAAAACTCATTCATGCAACCACATAAGTCAATGTCCTGGGAGTCATCCTTAACTCTTCCTTCCCTCACACCTGACATCTAATCCATCAGCAACTCCTGCTGGCTCTACCTTTAAAAGGTGTCCCCAACTCAACCTCTATGCTCCGACCATCATCCCTCTCTTAAGCTACCTAAATGCTCTCCTAATTGGCATCTATATGTCTACTGTTGCCCCCTTTGCTCCACACAGCAGCCAGTGATCACTTTTAAAACATAAATCGAATCATGTCAATCCCCTGCTCAAAATCCTCCATAATGACTTTTTGACTAGCCAGTTTCCTAGCCACTGTCAACCCTCCTCCCCCAACCCCTCCCCCTGCTTCTTGGGAAAAGTAATGTGCAAAACTACAAACTACATTTCTCAGATTCCCTTGCAGTTAGGGAGCCCATGAAATCCAGTACTAACCAATGAGACATAGGAGAAATCACCAGATGGGGATTCTATGAAAGCCACTATTTCTCTAAGAAAAAGGGACACTGTAGTGCCATATATCTTGTGATATTTATTCTTCTCCTTTGCTAAAAAGCAAAAAACTAAAGGTAGAGCAGCCATTCCAAAGATGTCAGGACAGGAAGGGTGAAGGGATCTTATTCCTTGAGCAGTTGCATCATCCCTTGTTTGCCCATCCTTTGATTCCTTGTTACGTGAGGAAAAACTGACCCCTTACTTAGTTAAATCGCTGTGGAGTTTCTATTACTTGTAGCCAACTACAATCCTGGCACGGGCTTCCCATCACCCTTAGACTAAATTCCTAAAAGTCTTACACGACCTTTCCAACAACATCCCCTACCTCATTCTCCCTTATTCTTTCTGCACCCACCTCATGGGCCTTCTGGGCTGTTCTTGGAACATGCCAAGTTTATTTCCTCCTCAGCCATTGCCATTCTGCTGGAAAGCTCTTCCTCCAGATCTTTTACATGGTTTGTCTGAGCCCTATCTTCATTCAGCTTTCTGCTTTAATGTCATCTCTGTACCAAGGTCTTGCCTTGCCCACTCCATTCAAAATCGGCTCCTTCACACTCTATAACTCTTTAGTAATTTATTTCACAGCACTTATCACTACATAAAACTGTCTCTACCTGAGAGTATGTTATTTATTTACTTGTTTACTTAATATTTATCTACTGAACTGAATGATAGATTGAAGAAGTACAGGAACACCCCCTAGTACCTAGAAGAGTACCTGGTATACAGTAGGCATTCAAAAGATGTTTAACCAATCAATTTATGATATATTGAAATTGAAGTGGGTTCTTCCTTACAGTTCACTCAGCAATTCTTGTAATATAAAGACTATATAACTAGCCTACCAAAAGGTAAAGATTTGTAATTGGGTTTATTCTGCTATTTTTTGTAATGTCAGCACCTTTTTGGGCAAGCATATTCCATATTGGCATTCTTTGCACGTAAACGCTTAATTTCATGGTCTTACCTGGAATTCTAGACTGGTCTGTAATTTCAATGGACTTAATGACTGAATTTAGCAGCAGTGCTCCAGACACCTGCCCTGAAGGTGAACAATGCCAGGGCATTATCCTTTTGGTTTCTTCCAGATCACCTGAATAAGGGTGAGTGATGAACCCCTTTACAGATTCGTTTTTTTCCTTGACCTCTACTGGTCTTGGCCAGGGATATAATAAATCCTTTCTCGATATAGCCACTATGATGCCAGAGTGATAAAGGCGTCAGAGGCCTGGTTCCAACTCCAGCTCACCAGCTATATGGCTTATTTGAGCTCTCGGGGTTATTGCGAAGACTAAAAGAGATCAGGGACTCGCAATCCACACGCTCCCTACAAAGAGAGAAGCCGGACTCGAGAGTTCTACGGTCTTCCCCGCTCAGAAGCGAGTCTGGATCCAGATTTTTGTTTCCCTCCTACCCTCTCCCTGTGCCTTGCACGCAGAGTTTCAGCATGAAGCACACGCCAACCTGCCCGGGACGCGGTCCCCACCCTAGAGCCTTCAAGAACCCAGGCCCCGGAGCCCGGAGCCCGGAGCACTCCCGTCGGCCTGTATGCGCCGCTCCCGTCTCCATGGAAACAAAGGCAGCCAATCAGTGCGGCGGCTTCCGCTACGCCCTGACAACAGCGGGGTCTCTGACTACGCTGGGGTGGGCTACCGTGGGCCTCCGGGCGGCGGTCAACGATGCTGAAGGCCAAGATCCTCTTCGTGGGGCCCTGCGAGGTGAGGCCGGGGCCAGGCGCGGCTTCGGGGGCGGCGAGCGGGAGTGGGGACGCCCCCGGTGCTGTGTCCTGCGCCGGGAGTCCCCAGGAAGCGGGAGCCCAGTCCCGACGTGCCCACCCGGGTGTGTGCTGCTGGCCTCAACGGGAGCTCGGTAGTGAGGCCTAAGATAATGAGTGGCGTTATGGAACCAGAACCTAGGTCTCACTTTGCACCCGAGGTTGTCCCTAACGAATATGTCTGTGGGACAAGAAAACCAGAAGGAGGAAAAGACTGGACTATTATCTGGTCTGGGAACAATTAGCCGTTTATGTGTGGTGGCAGTAGTGGGGATTAAATCTACATGTGTACTTCACACGATACACAAAAATGAAATTCAGATAGACTCAAACTAAACGTGTAAAAAGAAACTGTAGAAGTAGTAGATGAATGAGAATTTGCATTTGCTGGTGCTGTTTGCCCAGGGACCACACATTGAGACCGCTTTAGTAGATGAATATATGGCAAGATACGTTTTTAATATTCAGATAGGGAAGGTCTTCTTAAGCACAACATAAAAATGAAGAAGGCTTAAAAGAAATGACAGCGAAGTTAAAGCCTGGGAAAAGTATTCACAAAATACATTACAAAGACAAGATTAATAGGTAGAACACAAGGAAAGTTTAAAAATTGGCAAAGAAAAGAGAAACAACTCAGTAGAAAATTGAGCAGAAGCTCTGCACACAAGAAATACAACTGACCAATAAGTGTGAGAAGATGCCCAGCTTCACAGTCACAGGAACACAAATTAAAACAAAAAGATGATATTTATTTGCCCATCGAATTGAATGAGAAAACTTTAGAAGACTGATAACACCTGGTGTTTGGATGCTTGTGAGGAAATGAATACTCTAGGAGTCTGTTGGTGGAGCTATAAATTGATAAGAGCTTTTTAGGCAATCAAATTATTAAAATTTAAAATGTGCAAAGCTTTTAGTGCTGCAGTTACATTTCTCTGAATCTACTGTAGCTGAGTACTTGTCCATGTTCCTCAGGAGTTGTACAGTATTGAATGGTTGGTAACTTCCTAGCTGCCCATCAATAAGAGAATGTCTAAATAAACTAAGGCACGTTCTTACTCTGGATACAGTGAATACTGACACAGAGAACTAACTCTCGAAGACATAAATTATTAAGTGAAATAGACAAGTAATAACAAAATACAATTGTGAAAAGCAAAACAAACATAGATATCTTTTTTTTTTTTTTTTTAATGGAAATTCTCAAACACATACCAGGGAGAAAGAACTATAAACTCCTAGTACCCATCACCCAGCTTCAACAACAAAAGATATTTCTGCATATACTTTCCTCTCTCTTCCACTATTCAAACTTACTTTTTATTCTTTTAACATGCTATGCCCATTCATGCCCTGTTGCCCTTGAACTAGCTATTCCTTCTGATTAGAAGCCTCAGCTGACTCATTGTCATTCAAATCTCAGTTTAAACTTCCTGTAGGCTTTCCCAGACCTCCCAATTCAAAGTCTCTGTCACATCGCCCTGCTTTATTTTTATCCTAGTACTTATCACTACCTCATCTTTTTCTAATTTATTCAACAGCACCTGGCACAAGGTAGATACTTAAAAATACCTTAAAGACCTGACAAACAGGCAGTTTCTTCATTTTTCCATAAGAACCCTTTCTCTTCAATAAATTAGTTTTAGCCAACGAGTATATATATCTATCAACTTTAAGGGCATAGATGAAATATACAAATACGCTTTTATAATGCATTTTTCAATGTAGCTATATACACATTTAAAGGTACATTAAGCAATATGTTAATTTGGAAATGCCGTTTTATTCCATTCTTTCATTTCATGACACAGTTTTATTCAAGCCTCTCACCTACACCTTTGACACCCAAGTCATCTTTAGACTAGAGCCACTTTTTGAATCTCCTAACAAAGCACACCACCTACGTGGTTTAGGATGCAGCACTTTTTGAATCTGTGTATGACCCTGTCCCTAGAAATGTATTCCAACTCAAAGAACTGTTCCTATAACATCAGGCCATTTGCCTTATTCGTCCTGTAGATAAATATTCATGATTTGCACAGCATAACCAGTTACTGTTTATTAAGTGATATTTGTGAGGTCACATCCTCAGGGAAAATTACTAAAGCAACATTAAGCCCCTCTTCTCCCTTTTATTTATTTGTTTTCTTGATTCTATTCCATGACCTCTACAAGCCTCCCAAACTGGCATTGATTGAAGTCATTCTAGTCAAGCAGTTGTTCAAAATAAAATAATTGAGAAAGCGGAGAATAATTTGAGAGACTTTTATAAGGACTCAAATGTAAGAGATTCCCCTTCTTCAGAGGAATAATTTGGGTGGAGGAAAAAGACTTGTTTTATAATCAGGCATGTAGAATGTTTGTTAAATGAATGATGCAAATGTACAGAAAACATCTGAAAAACGGATCATAGTTATTACCTTTGGGGAGGGAATGGGACAGACAGACAGATGATTTGAGTGGAGGAATCAGGAGGGCTGTTTTGTTCACTTTTTAAATAAGAATGTATATTTGTATTATCTAGAAGGAGAAACAGCCCTTCGTGGAGTGTGGCACAAACCTGGGACCCAGCTTCAACTTTGAACTTCTACGTGACCTTGAGGAACTCTCTTCCTCTTTCTGAGCCTCAGTGGCTTCTTATATGTGACAGACTAGTTTTTTTGAAGATGTGGAGAGGAGTAAGTGAGGAAAAACTCACACTAATGATTTTTTTCTGTTCTTAGATGAGTTAGCTGAGAGTTAGTCAGGGAAATCCACGTGGGTAAAGTCACCCAGCAGCAGAGCCAGTGCTAGAATATCCTGCTCCCTGTGTCCCAAAGCAGACTGTGCCAACTACACAGAGCAAGCAGCGAGATCCAGCTAACCAGAGAGGGCCCTCTGCCCTAGTGATCTCGGGGTGCTCTTGGCCTGTGTTCCAACACACCTGGTTCCAAGCCAGCTATTGGGGGACTCATTTACGGCTTGCTTTTCTGTTCTTCAGCAAAGACCTCTTATTATCTTCATTTTCGCAGAGTGGAAAAACCGTTTTGGCCAACTTCCTGACAGAATCTTCTGACATCACCGAATACAACCCAACCCAAGGAGTGAGGTGAGCCCTGATGAATCTGTGCAAGAGAGTCCCCGTCTATCACCCCCTACTACTTTGGGTGCTGGTCGCATTCCAAAAGTATGTTTCCAAAGTATAGATGCTGCTGCTGTTTTTGTTTCTAGGATCCTGGAGTTTGAGAACCCACATGTTACCAGCAACAACAAAGGCACCGGGTGTGAATTTGAACTATGGGATTGTGGCGGTGATCCAAAGTATGTCTTCTTTAAGAGGGTTTGCTTCATCAAATGATTCAAAAACCAGCTGCTTGCCCAGTACCTTGTCCTAGCACACTTGCTAGCGTATATTAGGGGCTCGGTCAATTGGTTGGTAACATGCATTGCTCTTGAAACTTTAGTGATTGGGTTTTGATACAATGAGAAGTCATCCATCAATTATCAATATTAAGATATTATTTTTAAAGTCCACAATTAGAAACCAGAACCACCTAACATTTACTCTGAATCCTTTGCTGCCTTGCAGATTTGAGTCTTGCTGGCCAGCCTTGATGAAGGACTCTCACGGAGTGGTGATCATCTTCAATGCTGACATCCCAAGCCACTTGAAGGAAATCGAGATGTGGTATTCCTGCTTTGTCCAGCAGCAGTTCCTGCAGGATACTCAGTGTCTGTTAATTGCACACCACAAACCAGGCTCTGGAAGTGGTAAAGGAAACCTATCTTTGTGTAAGGAGACTGGAATTCTCCTTTCTGCTTTTGTCTCGAGTGTTCTGGGCATTTATATATTGCTCTGTGTCTTTGAAAGCAGAAGCTATGAGCAGTTAGTGAGCACCTATTGTGTTCTAGGCATTTATTTTTCTCACCATGTAAATCAGAATTGCCAGATTGGAAGATCTGCCATATGTACTATCCAGGCCAGAATATAGACACTTTAAAAGCAGGTAGATACTAAGAGGGGAAAACAGCTGGTTTTAGCCACTCATCAGTACTATTAGGGACAC